GCCATATCATCAGATTTGTTTGCCCGGCTCGACACTGATTGGCTGGGAAGCCGGCTTCTCGGCCAATCAGCATGGAGCCGGCCAAACCGCATGGAGACAGCTTCCCGGCTCCGTCTTTCCTCGCGGCACTGCCGGTCAGAGGAAATCTCCCTCTGAGCGGAAGTTCCAGTATCGGGGAAGGTATCGGAGAAGGAGTACTCGCCCAAATACTCGGTATCGGCACCGACACCGATACTGGTATCGGTGCATCCCCAGTCTCATCGTTCGAGGGTTCTGACGCTCTAACGGGCTGACGCTCTAAAGTCTAGCCTTTTGCTCCGGTTTGTCCCATGGCAGGAAGCCAAGTTTGGACATTTATCAGAAGACCTCGATGGTTCCACAAGGAACCCTTCGATAGCCCTAAGAACACGTCGCAGAGTTGACTACGTAACCGGCTTTTTCAGCATTAGAGTTTGCCGGGACGGTAATGTTGGCTTTGAGGACCGACCTGTGGTTTCATGTAGAGTATCCACTCCTCGGATAATGACGGCCGTTAGTTCTATGAGCGTGGCGATCCGTGGTTTCCATGTTTCCTTTAAAAATGTCTACATTTACCCACATATAAATTGTCCTGCGGTAAGTCAGATGTGGTTTTGGCGCCGTGCCCGCCTAAGCCCGGCTTTTCATTAATGTTCTTCCCCCCGTTCCAGAAGATTACAAGAGCTTAACGGTGAGGATTGGAAACTCTTCGACGAAAGCCGCACTGTCGGGCACGCTGACCATCCCGTGCCACATCACGTACCAGTCGCCAGCGGCGGAGGTGACCGTGGGCCGCCGGGCCGTGCTGGCCACGCCTAGGGTGAAATGGACCTTCGTCTCCAACGGGAAGGAAGTCGAGATATTGGTGGCTCGGGGCCACAAGGTCAAGATCAACGAGGCGTACAGACTGCGGGCCTCCCTCCCGCGCTACACGACCTCGGCATACGACGTCACGCTGGTCCTCAAGGAGCTGATGAGCAATGATTCGGGGGTTTACAAGTGCCACGTCCAACGCGGCATTGAAGATGACTATGACATGTTGGAGGTGAAGGTCAAAGGTAAGCCCGGATTTAATTGTCTTTTATATACACTATATTACCAAAAGTATTGGGACGACTTTACACGCACATGAACTTTAATGGCATCCCAGTCTTAGTCCGTAGGGTTCAGTATTGGGTTGGCTCCGCCCTCTAATGGCATCCCAGTCTTAGTCCTTAGGGCTCAGTATTGGGTTGGCTCCGCCCTTTGCCGCTATAACAGCTTCAACTTCAACTCTTCTGGAAAATTCCCTTTTAGGGCAGAGAGTCCGTCCTCCCTGCAGAGAACAATCAGCAGCAGTATGTTCACCTGCAGGGAAATCTTTTCAAAGCTTTCTAAAAAAATTCTATTTATAGAGCCTTGGATGAAACACATTTCCGTACGGCACAGCCAGGGATGTACGTCATCGCTCTGACAGGAATAAGAGCCGACCCAACATGGGAGCCCGTGAAAGGGCTCAAACACCTGATTCCTTCTCATGGTATTCAGTGGAGGCTTTTAGAGTAAAAGCAGACTGGAGATGGTTCCTCGCAGGGGCGGAGTAGTAGCTCAAAGTGATCATGCCGAATATAACCCTGGAGTAGGCATGAGCGAAACCGAGGCTGGTCATTGGAGGTGATGGGGAAGACTAGGAGGTGATGGGAAGACATTGGGGTTATAGGGAAGACTAGGAGGTGATGGGGAAGACATTGGAGGTGATGGGGAAGACATTGGAGGTGATGGGGAAGACATTGGAGGTGATGGGGAAGACATTGGAGGTGATGGGGAAGACATTGGAGGTGATGGGGAAGACATTGGAGGTGATGGGGAAGACATTGGAGGTGATGGGGAAGACATTGGAGGTGATGGGGAAGACATTGGAGGTGATGGGGAAGACATTGGAGGTGATGGGGAAGACATTGGAGGTGATGGGGAAGACATTGGAGGTGATGGGGAAGACATTGGAGGTGATGGGGAAGACATTGGAGGTGATGGGGAAGACATTGGAGGTGATGGGGAAGACATTGGAGGTGATGGGGAAGACATTGGAGGTGATGGGGAAGACATTGGAGGTGATGGGGAAGACATTGGAGGTGATGGGGAAGACATTGGAGGTGATGGGGAAGACATTGGAGGTGATGGGGAAGACATTGGAGGTGATGGGGAAGACATTGGAGGTGATGGGGAAGACATTGGAAGTGATGGGGAAGACATTGGAGGTGATGGGGAAGACTTGGAGGTGATGGGGAAGACATTAGAGGTGATGGGGAAGACATTGGAGGTGATGGGGAAGACATTGGAGGTAATGGGGAAGACATTGGAGGTAATGGAGAAGACATTGGAGGTGATGGGGAAGACATTGGAGGTGATGGGGAAGACATTAGAGGTGATGGGGAAGACATTGGAGGTAATCAGGGGTGTGTTTTTAAGAGTGTATCAGGCTTTAAATGGCTTCTGAGGGTAACAAAAGTTACTCACTATTGCCATTTTTTAGGGGTTGCCATACTATGGCAGCGGTGTACGGTGCTTTTGTCACTCATGAGGGTTAGCAGAGAAAGACATGCTAACATCACTTTTACAGTTCCCTCCGAACGTCATACCAGCTTGGCAGTTGGTTCGGGCCTGGTGACAACGGATGCCAATAATCTCCCCTATCTGTCTGTGTGTCCTCCAGGTGTTGTGTTCCTGTATCGGGAAGGACTCTCGCGTTACACTTATACTTTCCCCATGGCCCAGGAAGCCTGCGTGAGGATTAAGGCGCACATAGCCACGGCAGATCAACTTTTGGCCGCCTACCATGGTGGATATGAACAGTGTGATGCCGGCTGGATCGCTGACCAAACTGTCAGGTTAGAAGATTGTGTTACTGTCGGGTTAGTTGCTTGTTTTCAAAATCCAAAATCTAGAGCAGGGCCGTAACTACACATCCCGGGGGGCCCCATAGCAAAAATTAAAATGGGGCCCCCCATGATGGCCTCTCTCTGAGCTGTGAGTGCCCAGATCCCAAAGACTCCTCTTGTGCATCTGAAGTCGTCTCTACTAAGGATGGGCTGAACGTTCGAGTCGAACATTGCATGTTCTAGCGTTCGCCGAACGCCGAACATTATGGGATGTCCGCGGTCTGTTCGACCCCGGCACATCCCACAATGCACTGCGCCGACCGAAACGGCAATTGGCTACAGTCTTGCACTTTTTTTTAGCTTCTTTATTTTTTTTAATGCTGTAATTTTTTTTTTTTTTACTTAACTTTATTGCTATAACATAGGGGACTAAGGAACCCCCTATGTAATAGCCAGTTCACCAAACAGGTCCTCTTTATGGAGACATCAGGGGTCTCCAAGACCTCTGATGTCACCTAGGGACCCCCAGAGAAGCTGATGAAGCAGAGATCTGCTCCATCAGCTTCTCTCCGGTGTTCTGCTAATATACATCACTTCCTGCATTCGGGGACAGAAAGAGAGATCAAAGGAATGATCAAGTAATGATCTCCCTTTGATCTCCTGTTAGAGCGTCGCCGTGCCGGTCCCAGCCGCAACGGCCACATCGGAACACTGGACCGGCAACGGCAGCGAAAAATCAAGCAATCAGAGGTACGAGGGGGAGGGGGGGGCGGCGCACACCCGCAGATCTAGAGACGCCTGACCGCTTGTATGTAAACAGCCATCGCTGGCTGTTTACATGCTGACAGTTTTCCCTCTCGTGTGCGG